CCTCCGTCTTTTGCTCTTCCCTACCATCCTTCACTTTCACCAGACTGGGGCAGGGAGTTGGGGTGTGGGAAGGGAGTGAGGGCTCTGGCTGGGCGTGTGGGCTCTGGGGTGGGGCCAGGGATGAGGGGTTTGGGGTGCGGGAGAGGGCTCCAGGCTGGGGCAGGAGGTTGGGGTCGGGGGATGAGGGCTCCAGCTGGGGTTGTGGGCTCTGGGGCGGGGCCAGGGATGAGGAGTTTGGGGTGCAGGAGGGAGCCCAGGGCTTGGGTGGAGGGGTTGGGATGTGTGTGTGGGGGTGTGGGTTTCTGGAGGGAGTTTGGGTGCGCAAGGGGACTCTGGGCTGGAGTAGGGGATTGGGGTGTGGAAGGGAGTCTGGGATGCGGGGTCCCAGCGGTGCTTACTGCGGCTCCCAGGAAGCGGCCACCAGGTCCCTGCATCCCCTAAACGCATGGGCAGCCAGGGAGGCTCCGCGTGCTACCTTCATGCCCGCAGGTAATAAAATATTGCGGATTCCGGCCAATGGGAGCTTCGGAGCCAGCGCTGGGGGCGGGGGCAGTGGGCAGAGCCTCCCTGGCCACTCATGTGCCTAGGGGCCAGGGAGACCAGTGGCTCCTTCTGGGACCCACACGGAACCAGGGCAGGTCGGGAGCTTGCCTTAGCCCTGGGCTCCCGCTACACCACCGCCTGGACTTTTAATGGTCCGGTCGGTGGTGCCAACTGGAGCCACAGTGGCATTCTTTTTGACCGGGCATTCTGGTCGTAAACTGGATGCCTGGCAACCCTACTTGCAGACTCAGCACTCAGAAAAATATCTTTACGAGCATAAGGACCAGAAACATTTTTAAAAATATAAATGAAGGCTTAGATCCTGCAAAAATTGGTGGGGGCACCAGGAACACACTGGGCCTGACCTCTACTATAGAACCTTACCTATTCTTATTAAGTACATGCATTAGGAAACTGAGAAACCTTTTGGTATATTCTCTGCAGTGCACATTCACACCTATGCTTAGGTTTTCCACTTTGCAAATTTAAGGAAAAAAATCATACGCTGCAATGATGGGGGAGAGGGAACTGGAACAGGAGTTAGAAAGGAAGGAAACTAAATTGTTTGTGGGTAAAATATAGAAGATCTGGCCAGCTTTAAGGAATTTCCTTCTGATCTTCACTGCAATTGAAAAATAGATCGTGAAATTGGTATGGAGACTTATGGACATAGTCAGCAAATGTGAGTACAGAGAAACGATGAAGGCCAAATAAACTAGAATGTACTGACTAAAATGTGGTGAATTTAAAAAAAAAAAAAAAAAAAAAGAAGGAAGGCTGAGGGGAAAAAAAGTACATTTGTTTAGGCGTGCTTATATAAGACGTTTCTGTGGGATAGATTCAGTATGACCGTGTCTGTACTAGTGTGGCTTACATTAAAAAGAAAGCCTTTCTTTTACTGTGATATTGACCATACTGTTATATTTTCCTATTTGATAGTATGCACTGAAAGGTCAACCCTTCTAATGTATTTTCATCCTATGGAAAAGATAATACTTTAAAATATATTTGTACTGGCGTTCTGCAAATACAAGCAATTGTGTATATATGGATTTCAGCAGTGTTGGAAATTCTTTGTGAAGTATAGTACAAACTATCACATAGGGAAACCCATGTAAATGCTACAAGGGATCTAACACTGAAACACATGAATAATATATTAGTAGATATACAGCACATATAATTAAAATTGCAGCAGTAAAACACATTTTATAAAATATTTAAACTGAATAGCGGAGAACACAGCAGAAAATTGCATATATTTGTCCTTGTTTGCCAATGATATGCTATCAGCTCATAAGAGCTTTTGGGGAGATAGCGTTTCCCACATTGGAAAAACTGGTTGGATCCTTGGATAAGCAGTGGTATGTTGGTCTGTATGTAATAGACAATATAGTAGAATTTTCTTGGGGCTATGGAGAGTAAACTTCCTGTGCTATGATCAAATAGGAAGAAAAATTTATTCAAATAGTGAATCATAATTTTAGAACAGAAGATAAATAATGAGTAACTGGTCAGGATCAGAAATAGGAGATATGGACCTTCTTTTTCCACCACGCCTCCATTACAAGGATGTTGTGAAAAGTGTACTTTTAATTATTGCTTACTTCTTACTTAATCCTTTCCCACTTGTTGTCCAGACAGATGTCATTTTTTGACTATGGACTTCTTTAATTGTAAACTCTTTGGCAGAGACCATGTCTATATATTCATTTGGACAGGGACTAGCACAATGGCCCCACTCCTGCTGGGGCCTCTGGGTGCTACCATAATATAAATATTTGATTATAGTAATCTGGAAGCTTCAGTAGCTTCCTTTCAGTAGCTTTCAGTAGTATTCTTGTGCACCTGGTACTCCCATTGGATACATCTACACTGCAATAAAAGACCCGCAGCATAGCCGCAGCTAGCCTGGGTCAATTGCCTGCGGCTTGGGTGCTGAGGCTATAAAATTGCAATGTAGAGGCTCGGGCTGGAGCCTGAGGTCTGAGACCCTCCTCCCTTGTGGAGTCTCAGAGCCTGGGCTTGGGCTGAAGTCCAGGTGCTGACCCAGCACCTGTGTCAGCTGACTCAGGCTCTGAGACTTGGTGCCACAGGTTATTTTTATCACACTGTAGATATATCCATTGTTTCTCACATAGGACTGAGCTCTTAAATGCTACTATATGCATATGTAGCATATGTTTTAAAAATTAAATAACTAAAGTTAGAGGGTTCCTTTGGCAGATTAATATTAAACAGAATACTAATATAATATACTCAGGGAATGTCTACATTACAGAGACTTGACTTGTATAACAATGCTGAGAGAGCCCCCTAGTGTGGAAAACAGCTTGAGCCAACAGGAGTTCTTCTGCCCGCAAAGCTAAACCACTTCTCCAAAGAACACTAGCTATGTCAACAGAAGCACTCTTACGTTGGCATAGTTGCATCTATGAAATCGGGGTTTTTGTCAGCATAGCTGTGTCAGCTAGCGGTGTGATTTTCCCCCTTCCCCCTCAGCACTCCTTGCTTACATAGCTATGCCAGCAAAGCTATGCCAGCCTTCTATTCTATTGAATCTGGATGTACCAGAGCGAAGTAAGTGAGATGTGCTTAAAGCTAAGTGCATCCTCAAATGCTTTGCTGGATTGAGGCCTTAGTATTCTGGTGAATATCCCAATATAGCCTAATGACAATGAATGGCAATGGCTGTTGCTTAACTTGTTTTAACAAAATTAAGCTTAATTGTTAGAGATCAGGATGTGGGCAGTCATGCCTAGTGGTTGGAGCAGGAGTCAGTAGCCAGGAATAGGAGTCCAGGGTCAGAGCCAGAGCCAGAGTCCAAATGCCAGAGCCGAAGGTCAGAGCCAAAATCAGAATTCCGGAATTTGAGTTGAGGGTTAGGGCTGGGTTACCTTGAGTGAGACAAAGCAGGGGTAGACCTCAAGATAAGGTCTGAGGCAAGGATAGGTCTAGCTCAGAATTAGAAGTAGGAGAGCAGTGGGACTGGAACAAGATGGGAGCAAGGCTGGGACAAGCAGGAGCCATCACAGCCATGTGCAAATGCTTTGCGCAGCTGCTGAACTGTTGTTGCTGGGCTTAAGAGCTGGTCTGGCTTAAGAGGTGGACTCTTCCCACCAATGAGGTGGTGCAGCCAAGCAAGCAGCCTATGACAGGGCAGCTACACTTGTTAAGCTGCCCGGAGACTTGCTGTGCTGCAGGCTCTGAATCATTCCTGACATTAATGAGTGCATATTTGGCCCGTGTCAAGTGCTTAATATGCTCCTGAACTAAGTGTGAAATATTAAGCTCATGTTTTGTTAATAGCCTTTAAAATATTTTTCATATGAAAAGAAAACATGTCATATGCTACCTCAATTTTCGTAACTACATACTAAGCTTACTTATCTAAAACTCTTGAAATTACAAATCTAGCCCCTCCTTCATGACTGCAGGGTCTGCTGCACAGAGGAGGGAAAAGTGTGATGTGAGGTGTGGATGGAGTGTGTGGCCACAGAACCTACTGCTATGCTGATCCTCCCACTCTACCCCTGTGATAGTGGAGTATGGAGCTAAATCAGCTGATCGGCTGAAGCAGCCTTTGTGGATTGTCTGTGCAACTATTAGACTGGCTTGTGGGAAGGGTGTCTCTCCCCTTGATCTGACCACTGCCCAGCCCGTCTACTCAAGTTGGATGTTGCGCTGCCCTTTGAAGAAGAAACAATAATTGATGTAACATAACTATTATTTAAAATTTTATTTCATTCTAAATCTTTTCAGATACTTTAATATTAAACTGGCCCTCGAAATAAGACCAGCCCCATAGTTTGAACAACTGCTTACCTACAAGGTCCCCCGGTGAAAAGCTTATTGAAAGAAAATCCAGTGCTGGGAGTTGATGTGTTCTCCATTATTCCGTTGCTTCTGGGACATTAACTAGAAAGCAGAGTTTCTGAGATTGAGGAAACCACTATCTAGTATGGAAAATATAGCTAACAATTGCACTTGGCAGGTTGCAACTACAGTAGGAATGGGCTTTTCCAGAGCAGCATATCCTTGATTTCCATCCCATCTGGTCAGAAGTATTGTGCCTTTCCAGATGTCCTTGCAGGGTGCAAAAATTAATGTTGTTGTTTGTGTACATAGGCGCAGATGACTATTTTTATGGCGGAAGAGAAAATTACTATACTCTTGGAAACTTTACTAATTCTGACTGCTTGAAGGGCCCATGTGCTGCTCCCCCCTCCCCCTCCGGTTTTTATCCCAAATGCATGTTAAGTCCACAATGAAACACTGTTTTAGCTCTTTGTACTGTCACATTGGACCCGCTTGGTTTCAGGGAAAAGTGATGATGTGCAATGTGCCTTTTTACATAATTTGTTCTACAGTAAAAATGTTAATTGTAACATGAGTCTTTTTTTGTTTACCACTTTAATATTTTTTTTCCTTTCACCCATCCGCTCTGTGAAATAAAGGCCAAGAAACGCCAGGCCTTCCTAACAGAGACGTGTGAAAACAACGTGAGAGAACTGGAGTTACTCTTGGACAGCTTTACTATGTCAAGCCAGTGGACAGCAGGTTAGTTGAAGGTATAAAATGACAGATGCATCTGTCAATGTTCCAAAGTTACTACATTGTGGGAATTCTGCAGATGCCTCTTGCATTCCCTCTTCTCAACATGCTTTGATTTGATGACATGATAAGAGCAGCTCTCACAGCAGTCAAGTGGCCTCGCTAGCTGAGAAAGGGTGACCGAATGTGGACCTGCTGTTGTCAGCCCAGAACTTGATTTACAAGTGCTGGGATCTATCTGATCGGTCAGAAAAGGGCTCACTTGCTGTGCTCTAAATCCAACTGAGAAAAAAGTCCTTACAGTCTACCTGCAAGGGGAACAGATGTTTTGACTGAACTGAGCCAAATTCTGAGGCAACCTTCAGCAACTTAAAGGTCACATATTCAAAAAGGTTATGTAGGACGCAGGATGTAACACAGTTCTCTTTATAGCATTACTTTGTGCTCTAACTATGTTACATTCATTTAATTTCAAACAACATACATATTTTTCTGATTAGTATACAAATATGAAATTGAAGATTTAGTGTCACTCTACCATATACATTATATGGTATTATCTGTAAGTGTTGTATCAAATGGAACATACTTCTCTACAACTGAGATGGGGATTGAGATAAACAGGAATTATTGAGAGACACCATTAATTTGAAATCTAGTAAATTTATTTTTAAAAAGGGGGTAAAAGTAGTTTTAGGTACTACAGCAGACCGTTATTTCCCCTGCCAGGGAATGTTCTTATTTTTAAAAAAATGTTCTTCTTTCTGGTTGGTGCATGGAACATGCACATACCTGTACAAGGGAACCAGTCAAACAAAATATTCATAAAGTGCTGACAAACACACACAGTAAATGAACTGAATAAATAAAGAAATATTTTACTCTAATCTTTGTTATAATAATCTTAGGAATTACTTTTTACAAAAGTAGGTAAAACATGTTCAGAAAAGGGGTTGGTTTGTTTTTGAGTTCATGTTAAACCTAATGTGTTATGTGGTGCTATATTAATTATATCCGCATTTCTGCAATATCAAGCAACAAGATACATTGAGGGATGATGTGGCAGCCTTTCATCGATTATTTTTTTCTTTACTTTCTCTGCATTTTTGGCCAAATAACATTGTGACAGGCTGATAATATCCTGAATAAACTTTACTGAATTAACTTAAACCTTAATGAATTTGTTTTAACATCTTCGGAGTTCACTCTATTAAAAATGCAATTGTGCATACATTATTGTGGAATGAATTAACTGTATGTATTTCCACGTGAAGGGTAAATGTGAGAACAACAGGGTGATGAGGCAAATGGACTCAAGTTGTAACATCTTCAAAGAGCCACCCCCATAGAAAGGTGTGCATATACTATTTCGAAGTGGATTCTCCAGGAACCACCGATTAAGAAAGGGATTTTTAGATAAATAGCCTGGCTTTAAACTAGCATATGGCCTTCTTCCTGATCCAGCAAATCCCTGGTCCACAGAGGGCCCCAATCCATAGGGTAAGGCTGAAAGGACTGGGCCAGACAGAATCCATGTTTTGGTTATGATTAATTCTAGTAATCTTATTAGCATGTGTGTAGGTTCTTTTATTGTTTTTAGTGTTTTCTCTGTAATGCTTTTTACCTTAAGAATGAAGTAGGCTTGCATAGAAATCTGTATGGTAATTTATATCTGTAGTAGTTACACTTGTATCCATGTCTAAAGAGAAAGCAAGCAGGTGTCCTTGGGCAACCTGTCTGTGCTGCGAAATGCACAGTGAAGGCAGGGAACTGTGCAGCCTAGAAATACGTCAGTCAGAAAGGAGAGAAACATGTATTTCCACCGAGAAGGGCAATGGCTGGGGATCTGGAATCCCTGAGAGTGAGTGCCCTTGCTGAACCACTATGGGGAAATACAGGTGCAGTTGTCCTGAACTGTGCCAAACGTCATTCCAGATAAAAAGCTTTGGACAGGCAAAGTTGAGTGGAAGAGCACTAGGCCCCTCTCTGATATTTCTGGGTATTCCCCAGTTTTCCCATAAAAGCATGGCTTCATCTGGAACTCTGATGCTATGACCTCCTCACCTGCACTTGGGCCAAATAAATCCTCACAGTCAGTTTTCAGGTGCATAGTGGGAACTGGTAAGAATTAATGCTGAAAGCGTCAACATTAATGGGTATTTCCCCAGAGATTCACTGGGATTTTGTGCCATTTAGAGCAGCCTTTCCCAGTCTCCTTTCAAGCCTATGGTGCCTCTCTTGCACAAAGGAGCTTTTGCAGGGTTAAAGGGAGGGGGTCTGCTGCTGCTGCTGCGAAGGGACAGTTCCTAAGCAATTTATAGTACTTTGAACAGGTTTTCCATTCTTCTCATGCCCTTGATGGTAAGTATCACAAGGAGTGAACTGATCCCATGTTTCCCTCTTAGTGGGAATTCAGTCGTTTGTTTTTAATGCGCTTTATTTACTCCCACCTTTTAAAAATAAGACCTCTAAAAATAAAATTCTTTAAAGCTTCAAAAGCAGCTGTAGAGAGTTGCTCCTCTGCAGAATAAGTCTGATTTGCTGCTGCAAGCGGGTCCTCATAGCAAACACTGAAACCTCAGAAGCGTTGTTCTAGTTTGAGGGGAGACAAACAGTAAAATTCTACAGTTTGTCTTGCAGGTTCGCCGCACTTTTCAGTTGAGCATATTGTAGTATTTTCAAAGATATTTTGCTTTCTTCCTACCTGCTTTTTCTTCTTGTATTTGTTTTTGTCTGATATTGCTGTTTCTATTAGTTCTTTCATGCCCACAAAGAGAGACTATTGCTCTGTGAATTGGACTTGCAGAAAATCTAGGACCAATACAAATAAAAAAGTTGGAGCTTTTAATACTTCCTTATGATCTAACTTAGAAACAAACTGGAAATTAGGAGAACTAGCACCATGTTATCTGCCTACTCTGCACAAATCCACAGCAAGTGCTGCATGGGCCACCAGTGATCCATGGATCATGTTTTGGGAACTGCAGCATAACATCAACAAGTATTGAAGAACAAAGTCCTCAAGGCCATAGGTGCTGGAACTAGGGGTGCTCCGGGTCTGTCACACCCCCTGGCTTGAAGTGGTTTCCATTATATACAGGGCTTACAGTTTGGTTCAAGGCCCTCAGCATCACCACTATAAAAATTGTTCCAGCACCTCTGCTCAAGGATTGAGAGTTGGCATAGTCCTATTAGATGTTCCTAGTGGCCAGTTACATAGCAGGGAAGGAGAATTAACTGCAGACCCACTCAGCTGATGATAAACTCCCAATGGTTGACTCCTGGAAGTGGTGCATCAGAACTTTCTCACATGGGCCATACGTGAGAGAGACTGATCTATCACATTTCTGCACCAGCTATTGCTGCTCTGTGTGAGAAGATGAGAAAAAACTGTTGCTGGAATGGATGCTTGCTCTTTTAAAGATGACCTGTGAAGGGGAAAAGAATGTGTACTTTCTTTATGATATAAAAAGAAAGGCCTCAAGGAATTTTGGTTTTTAAAGGGTATTTTGAAGACCACTTTTTAACAATATAAAAATGTCAAACACTGAGTTCTCTCTTTGTATTGGAGAACTTAAGAAGCAGTGGGGTTCTGACCTATTGAAACCTGAACAGAAGGGAAGAGAGTCTTAAGCTTTGTCTGCCTGGCAAAGTTTTACCAGTTCTACAGGTATAGTTATCCCAGCATAACCACCCATGTGGACACTTACTCCACTATAAGAGTAATTTTTTTGTTTAACTTACCCCCCTTCCAAGCGACATAACTGTAATATAAATAATAATAATAATCAGTTTAAATTCAGACCTTATCTTATACTAATATAACTTACCTGTGAAGACAAACTGTTTTAAAATGTCTTTTTTGTTTTGTTTTTAAACATCTGTTTAATTCAAACATCTGTCAAATAGTTGAAAGAAGTGCTGTTTTGTTAAAGGTTCAACAGTCCTGTCCTTTCACTTAAGGGCTGAGACGAGAGATCTTCCAGTCTCTTTGGGTTCTTCAGGGGACTTCTCTAGCAAAACGAGGCGATTTGACACTCCTGATATTTCTAAGGGCATGGCTACACTGGAAACTTCAAAGCGCTGTCGCGGGAGTGCTCCCATGGCAGCGCTTTGAAGTGCGAGTGTGGTCGTGCGTGAGCGCTGGGAGAGAGGTCTCCGAGCGTTCCTGGTAGTCCACCTCCAGGAGGGGATTAGCTCCGAGCGCTTGGAGCCTGTTTACACTAGCACTTTAAAGCACTCTGACTTGCTGCGCTCGGGGGGTGATTTTTCACACCCTGAACCAGCAAGTTGGAGCGCTATAAAAGGTAAGTATAGCCAAGCCCTAAAATAAAAACAAGCAGGAAAAATGTAAACAATTTTTTATAAAGCAAAAAAAGTCACAAACCCAATTCCCCTTCCCCCCTTAGATCATTTTTAAAGCCAGGAAATTTAGCTGATACCTTTTCATCAATTCATCTTGTTATACTTGTACCATGTGTGGGATACTTAGAGAGATTCTGTGATTTCAGTCACAGAATTGTACTCCAGAATATCAGCTTTCGTTTAAAAATAATTTCTAGCCCATAAGGTTTTGGAGATGAACTTGTGTAGCCTGATCTATAGATTATGTATTAATTATATTGATTAATTAAAAATTCCCAGTTATCACTTTGAGGGTTGGCATGAACCAAGTGTAAACTCATGGAGTATTGCCCACCCTAGTCAGCAGAGAGCCTGAAACGATAGATTTACGTGGGGTGAACTGACCCATTCATCTCAATAAGAGCGCTGTGGAATTTGGCATTTTTCTAAGATGTCATAGTATTCCACATTTTGCAGCAGTCAGGCCCCTGATTTTATTTTCTGTCTCACGGCCCAACTGGGACCTGCCTGCAGCTTTCCCCACAAAGAGGTGATTATTGGTTTATGTTGCGTGCTCCCTGCACTGTTCCCACAGCCCCCATTGGCCTGAAACGGTGAACGGCCGAACCTGCGGATGCTGCAGGTAAACAAACCGTCCCTGCCTGCCAGCAGATTTCCCCTATGGGCCGCATGCCAAAGGTTGCCAATCCCTGGTTCAGCTTGTAGTTAGAGGGAATCGGGTTTGTAGGCTGATAGGCTGGGCTGCCTGGAGAAGAGTGCAGCAGCCAAGGCTGCAGAAGCCAGGGTGATGAGTTTCTGAAGCTGGCTACAAACTGCTGTTTCCAAGGCTTATGTGGTAGAGAAGGCAGTTCTGAGAGACTGGCCTCTTAAACGGTACTGCAGGGTCTGAAGCTTGGAGAGTGGAGTTGGATCACCTGGAAAACTCAGCAAAAAACCCATCACCCAAAATAATTAACAGATGAAAATATTGTGAGCCATAGTTTTGTATGAGTTCTTGTAGTGGTGGGAGGGATGAGCATGAACAATATTTAATGGCTATGCAAGTATTAATGTTGCTGTAGAATGTAGTGATATTGTGGAATTTAGGAGTGCTTGCCAAGTGATCCGGGCTGTGCAATACAAAGGGACTTGAATACTCTGTAATTTTCTCCAATACTGGGATTTTACATTACTTAAGCACGGTTGGAAAATTTAAGGATGGGACGTCTTTCTTAAATCTAAATAAAATCTAACCTTATCATGTATAGTCAGATTCTTCTACCCTTACTTATGTTGATTAATACCCTATGTCACAAGAACTCAGTGGGCCAGCTTGTGCAGTATTTGTGTACTCCAGAAGACACAGTTTAGTCCAGGGCTAGGGCACTGGGCTGGGACTCGGGAGATGTGATTTCTGTTCCCACTTCTGCTACTGACCTGCTATGTGACTCTGAGCAGGCACTTCTCCTCTCTGTCCCTCTGCTTCACCATCACCCTCTGTCTGTCTTAACTATTTAATTTATAAATGCTGTGGGGCAGAGATTATATCCTAGAACAGTGGGGCCCTGATTTTAGTTGAGGTGGCCTCTGGGTGTTACAGTAATACAAATAATAAAGCAAGGATGGCATATCTAGTCCATAATTTATTTTTAGTGTAATTTTTTTCTTAATGTTGAAAAAGTGACCAAAATAGACTGTGATAACGATAACCTTAGAACAGAATTATGCCCTGGGTAATGCATGCACAGTTCCCAACTCATTGAATTAACTGGAAAATTTTTGTGTTGATCATTATGCAGTATTTGGCCCTAGGATAGCATTCTCACCAACTTCTGGAAACAGAGGATAAAGCAATTTGCACTCTAAGCCCTAACGCAAATCAGCATTTGTTTTATCAAAAAGTGTGACTATGGTAATAAAGATGGGCTAAGAAATAAAAGTGAAAAGTTAAGGTATGTCTTCACTACCCGCCGGATCGGTGGGCAGCGATCGATCCAGCGAGGTTCAATCTATCGCGTCTAGTCTAGATGCGATAAATCAAACTTAAGTGGTCAAGTTGCAGTGGGGGAGGTTTAGATTGGATATTAGGAAAAACTTTTTCACTAGGAGGGTGGTGAAACACTGGAATGCGTTACCTAGGGAGGTGGTAGAATCTCCTTCCTTAGAGGTTTTTAAGGTCAGGCTTGACAAAGCCCTGGCTGGGATGATTTAACTGGGAATTGGTCCTGCTTCGAGCAGGGGGTTGGACTAGATGACCTTCTGGGGTCCCTTCCAACCCTGATATTCTATGATTCTATGACCCCCGAATGCTCTTCTGTCGACTCCTGTACTCCACCGCCACGGCACAGGCAGAGTTGACGAGGGAGCAGCAGCAGTCGACTCACCATGATGAAGACACCATGGTAAGTCGATCTAAGTACGTCGACTCAGCTACATTATTCATGTAGCTGAAGTTGCGTAACTTAGATCGATTTTCCCCCCTCCTCCCACAAGTGTAGACCAGGGCTTAGTGTGTCCAAGAGTGAAATGCCTCTTAAAGTCCTATTCTGTACTTCCTGAAATGATTAAAAGAGGGAAATTACTCTGCAAATTTCAATTTTAAAGTGGTTGTGGGCAATATTCTGATTCTGCATGCATTTGTGATGTTTCCATTGACTGCAGTTGGTGCCCCACGTGGGTATCTAAAGCCAGGCTTTCTTTAATGTTTCACAGTTGGTTAAGTGACACTTACCCTTCCATTTTTTATTAGAAAAAAATAAACTAAGATTTAAAATAGTAAAAAGTTTAGATGGGGTGCTCCTGCAACTATAGTTTTATAGAAAGTTGTGGCTGGTCTAATGGATAGGTTTAGCATACAAGACACAGTCTGTGTCCTGACTTGCTGTGTTATCCTGGAAAAGATGGGAGAAATTTAGTATCAATTGGCAACTTATAAATACGTGATCAATATAAAATTGTTCTTGTTTTCAGAAATCATTTTGAAGGCAATAATGCAAACCACTTTTGTGCATATGATCCTAGTTAAGTCAACTAGAGCAGAAGTTATAGCTTAAGGGTTTAATAAATACGTATAATATACATATAATGGATATATCAGCTTTAAGATTTGTAATTGAAACATTATGTAGGAATGCACAGACAGATAATAAAAAATCTGTGTTGTTTCCTTTTGGACTGGAATTCAAGAACATTTAAAGAGTTTTAAGACCCTTCCAAGCATAACAACGTCATGTGATCTTTGGCTCAGCAAAGGTTTGTTGAATAAGTGATGTATTACTGCATTACAAAATGTATGCTTGGTCAGAAGATGCCAAAATAATGCAGGAAAAGTGCAATCTACTTAACTTAATACAATATGTTTTTACAAAGTGTGTCCCTGTGCAGTGTAAATGGTGATCTGACTGAATGACATATAGACTTAATAATCACTAAACTACATACCTAAAACTGGATATAGAGTTCATTAGTTGGATGATAACTGTGAGTATTAACTGGAGATTGCAACTTTGTTGTACAACAGCTCTCATACAAGCAGTTATTTAGCTATATTTGACATGAAACTGTATGCCGTGGGGAGAACAAGGCTGCTGTTCAGTGTTCTGTATTGTCACTGTGCAGCCCTAACTAATTTTAATATCTTCCACTTTGAGAGTTCTCGGTCTCTCTGTGACTTTAAGGGCTTTATTTTCATTCTGTAATTTTTCTTCAGGCAGTCGCAAGGACAAAGATAAACCTCCAAGCCTCTCTGTTGTCCTTGAGACTTTGAGGAATACCTTGACAGATTACCAGAACAAGCTGGAAGATACATCTAATGAGGTAACATTTGCACTGTTTGGCTCCATACATATAGCCTTCGGCCTGCAACAGTATGTATTCCTCACTTGTTACAAAGGTCAAAAGATTGGGAATGTTGAGTTGACAGCTACAGATACTAAAAAGAAATAATCTCTGTCACTGCTCTTCCTCTAAACTTGTCCTATAGTAATGTTCCACTTAAATATGAAAAATATATAATCTATTTTTATTTTGAGCTGTTGAATTTCTAATTGTTTTCAGTAAACTTACACAGAAATATGACACTTTCCATTCTTCATCTAGGGCTTTAGGTAAAAGGTGACGCAAGTATTTTAAAAATGCAATGTAGTACTTGAATTTTAACATTCATTGGTATCAGGTGTGTAAATGTGAGTGCTCCCACAAGAAAAGTGAGATTATTTTCAGAGATCAGTTGTGTTCTTGATGAAGATTGGTAAATTTCATGGTTTGGGTTTTTTTTTTTTGTCATACAGAGGAAGAGATATCTGCATAATACTTTTCTAAAGGTAAAAAAGAAGAGTAACAAACATTTCTATTTTTTTAAAAAAAATGTATTTTTCATGCACTCCTAGAGGCTTTTAGTCACTGGCTGAAAAGTCTATCTTGTATTTATTTTCTTATTTATATTGCTAATGTGATTTGTTTAATCCTCTTGGGTTTAAAATGTTTTATGAATGTGTAGGTTTAAACACTGTAGAGAGCAGTTAACTACAACTTTTCAAAGTCCTTTAATTGTACATAAAATTGGCAAAGCACTGAAACGTGTCAGTATTTTATTTTTTTTCTATTCCTAAGTTTTGTCTTTTGTTTGATAAACTTATTGTTTATCCAGTCACTCATTACATTTGAAATAAATCATATTAACTTGGCTGTTTTTATTGGGGAAAAATAGTCTCCTTCAAGTCCTCTGAGATTTGTTCAAGGAGCTCAAGAATAAGTAACCACAGAAACAATTAAACTTCTCTAAACAGCAAACACTGTTAAGTCTCTGCAGTGAGATAAGATAACCAATGTGTTTAGTAGTTTATGAATCTCTTCTGAGGCCCAGGTCTGGAAGCTGAAGAATAACTAGGAGCACATTACCCACAGCGAATTGTTACTTGGGAGGATGAATGTCACATGATTCTCAGCACAGTTGAAAAGTCTACTCAGCAGGCTTTGGCTTAGTAACGTGCTTTGTTGGGAAACAGTGCCAGAGACAGCAGTGGGGAGGCCAAGGGGGTGGCTGCTAAGAAAGCAAAGAATACTCTGACAGAAAGAAGAATGAACTGTCAAGGAAAATAAATCGCAAGCTGATGACCTGCCATAAGACTTCCCAGTAGGACTGCATGTGACAGGCCCTGAAGTTGTCATGCGGAGCTAGAGACCACTGAATGCCCTCATGGTACACAGAAAGGGCAGTGTTCTCTCCTCCTTGATTTTCCCCATAAATGTCGCTACTTCTGGCTTTTTGTGCATTTTGTCCTTAGACATGTTTCGTAATAAAACTCTTTTAATATTACAATAAAACTCTCAGGGATTATCAAGGGCACCATCCAATAAAAAAAACAAACAAACTTGCTTTTGTATGTTGCGCAAAGGTTTTAGGCTTGTTTAATTCTGTTAAGTTTTTTAGGATATAGACTTATGACAGGACCCCACACATAGATGGATGTAACTAATTATTTGGCTTTACAATATATGTCTGGACCTGTTTGGTGAACTTGTGACATTATATTAGCTCTAATTTACTAAATACACATAAGAGCTAATAACTCTTAATTTCTGTAGAGCTAGTGAATATTAAAATTAGAGCATTCACTTTCACATGTCTCTATGAGTTTGGAGGTTGAGTAGATGAGGTCTGGCTGGCTGAAACACAATGTGGAAAATATAGAAATAATTTTGGTAGATTGGGGAAAGCAACTAACAGAGTTGGCAAGGATTATATCAGCACCCCTGATTGAGGGAGATGTGTGGCGGCCATTTGTGAAGTGTTTACAATTTAGATGTGCTACAGAGTTCTGAAAAAAGATGTAGCTCACGAAAGCTTATGCTCAAATAAATTGGCTAGTCTCTAAGGTGCCAAAAGTACTCCTTTTCTTTTTGCGAATACAGACTAACACGGCTGTTACTCTGAAACCTATAGAGTTCTGAGCAACTCCTGGCTGGTCAGGTAGCAGCAATGACCAAGATTGCTATATTCTGCCTATACCTGATTAGAGAAGCATGGCATTTGCTTTCACATACAGACTTGGCTACTATTATTTGTGCCTTTTGACACTCAAGATTAGATTACTGTTAGACTGCTATGTCGGTCTCTACAGTGAAACTGGAAAATGAAGCTAGCACATATTGTGGCCACCTGTTTATCTGGAAGAGGGCCCATAACTCCAGTGCTCCAAGATCATCAGTAGCTGCTTGTAATGCCCTGACTAGTTTGGGATTAAGTGACTTGAGAGACTATGCCTCTCCTTGAGTTATGCTCTGCTGTTGCAATGAGCAAAAATCCGTGAGCTGGAGTCCCCTCAGTTTAAGAGGGAGGATGCTGCATGTAGGACATTTTCTGGGAGGGACCATTGACTATGAAACTTGCTTCCTGAAAGTCACTGGGAGCTCGATTTCTTAAATTTTCTGGCACACTTCAAAGACTCCCCCCAGCCCCCACCGACGTTTGAGAGTTCATGGGCAAAAGCAATAGTGAATTTGGTTTGGGGTTATTACTGCTATTATTTATTTGTAATATCATTATTAATATTTAATATATCAAACTTGTTTAGTGGTAATCTGTTAAATTGTTTACAGCTGATGTCTGAGGAGTTTTCTAATACATTCTGGTTTTACATTTCTATAGGAAATATTAATTTATGTTTAAGTACCTACATAGAATCATAGAATATCAGGGTTGGAAGGGACCTCAGGAGGTCATCTAGTCCAACCCCCTGCTCAAAGCAGGACCAATCCCCAATTAAATCATCCCAGCCAGGGCTTTGTCAAGCCTGACCTTAAAAACTTCTAAGGAAGGAGATTCTACCACCTCCCTAGGTAACACATTCCAGTGTTTCACCACCCTCCTAGTGAAAAAGTTTTTCCTAATATCCAACCTAAACCGCCCCCACTGCAAATTGAGACCATTACTCCTTGTCCTGTCCTCTTCTACCACTGAGAATAGTCTAGAACCATCCTCTCTGGAACCACCTCTCAGGTAGTTGAAAGCAGCTATCAAATCCCCCCTCATTCTTCTCTTCTGCAGACTAAACAATCCCAGCTCCCTCAGCCTCTCCTCATAAGTCATGTGTTCTAGACCCCTAATCATTTTTGTTGCCCTTCGCTGGACTCTCTCCAATTTATCCACATCCTTCTTGTAGTGTGGGGCCCAAAACTGGACACAGTACTCCAGATGAGGCCTCACCAATGTCGAATAGAGGGGGATGATCACGTCCCTCGATCTGCTCGCTATGCCCCTACTTATACATCCCAAAATGACATTGGCCTTCTTGGCAACAAGGGCACACTGCTGACTCATATCCAGCTTCTCGTCCACTGTCACCCCTAGGTCCTTTTCCGCAGAACTGCTGCCTAGCCATTCGGTCCCTAGTCTGTAGCTGTGCATTGGGTTCTTCCGTCCTAAGTGCAGGACCCTGCACTTATCCTTATTGAACCTCATCAGATTTCTTTTGGCCCAGTCCTCCAATTTGTCTAGGTCCCTCTGTATCCTATCCCTGCCCTCCAGCGTATCTACCACTCCTCCCAGTTTAGTATCATCCGCAAATTTGCTGAGAGTGCAATCCACACCATCCTCCAGATCATTTATGAAGATATTGAACAAAACTGGCCCCAGGACCAACCCCTGGGGCACTCCACTTGACACCGGCTGCCAACTAGACATGGAGCCATTGATCACTACCCGTTGAGCCCGACAATCTAGTCAACTTTCCACCTTATAGTGCATTCATCCAGCCCATGCTTCTTTAACTTGCTGACAAGAATACTGTGGGAGACCGTGTCAAAAGCTTTGCTAAAGTCAAGAAACAATACATCCACTGCTTTCCCTTCATCCACAGAACCAGTAATCTCATCATAGAAAGCGATTAGATTAGTCAGGCATGACCTTCCCTTGGTGAATCCATGCTGACTGTTCCTGATCACTTTCCTCTCATGTAAGTGCTTCAGGACTGATTCTTTGAGGACCTGCTCCATGATTTTTCTGGGGACTGAGGTGAGGCTGACTGGCCTGTAGTTCCCAGGATCCTCCTTCTTCCCTTTTTTAAAGATTGGCACTACATTAGCCTTTTTCCAGTCATCTGGGACTTCCCCCGTTCGCCACGAGTTTTCAAAGTTAATGGCCAATGGCTCTGCAATCACAGCCGCCAATTCCTTTAGCACTCTCGGATGCAACTCGTCCGGCCCCATGGACTTGTGCACGTCCAGCTTTTCTAAATAGTCCCTAACCACTTCTTTCTCCACAGAGGGCTGGCCATCTATTCCCCATGTTGTGATGCCCAACGCAGCAGTCTGGGAGCTGACCTTGTTCGTGAAGACAGAGGCAAAAAAAGCATTGAGTACATTAGCTTTTTCCACATCCTCTGTCACTAGGTTGCCTCCCTCATTCATTAAGGGGCCCACACTTTCCTTGGCTTTCTTCTTGTTGCCAACATACTTGAAGAAACCCTTCTTGTTACTCTTGACAGCTCTCCTTGACTCCTTTCCCCGTCATGTTAGTCCCCCAGGGGATCCTACCCATCCGTTCCCTGAGGGAGTTGAAGTCTGCTTTCCTGAAGTCCAGGGTCCGTATCCTGCTGCTTACCTTTCTTCCCTGTGTCAGGATCCTGAACTCAACCAACTCATGGTCACTGCTTCCCAGATTCCCATCCGCTTTTGCTTCCCCTACTAATTCTTCCCGGTTTGTGAGCAGCAGGTCAAGAAAAGCTCCCCCCCAGTTGGCTCCTCTAGCACTTGCACCAGGAAATTGTCCCCTACGCTTTCCAAAAACTTCCTGGATTGTCTATGCACTGCTGTATTGCTCTCCCAGCAGATATCAGGAAAATTAAAGTCACCCATGAGAACCAGGGCATGTGATCTAGTAGCTTCTGCGAGCTGCCGGAAGAAAGCCTCATCCACCTCATCCCCCTGGTCCGGTGGTCTATAGCAGACTCCCACCACTACATCAGTCTTGTTGCTCACACTTCTAAACTTAATCCAGAGACACTCAGGTTTTTCTGCAGTTTCATACCGGAGCTCTGAGCAGTCATACTGCTCCCTTACATACAGTGCTACTCCCCCACATAGTCTCCCCAACTCCCAATTGTTTTTTCTTTTCTTTTTTTCCCCAAGCTAAAGAAAACGAAAGCTTCATGTGAGAAGATGACGAAAGAAATTGACTCATCCAAACAAAAAATACGGTCTCAAAGTCAAGACCTTAAGGTATGGTTTTATGAACTGTAACTTCTTATCATAATACAATATTTCTGGTACGTCTCACTTAGATTGTATCTGCATCATAATATGTTATCTCTGTTATCTCAAAATAAGTGTGTGTATCACTTCTCTCTATTGAGTGGAATGTCAAACCTCACGTTTGTGCAAGGACATATTTCCTTATAGTGGTTGCAGCCTACAGATGACATAAGTCTACCTATGTGAACATTTCAAAGGTTACATTATTGAAGTAATATCGGTTTAAACAGATGATCTGTTCCTTGAGTAGTCCTCTTACTTCATCATTTTGTGCTTGTTTGTTCGACAAGCATAGCTCTTCTGTGTTGATGTCATCCTCAACATCTTTTTCTGCTAGATTCTTGTTCTTTATGCATAAAATGTGCATATGAAATTTATCCTCAGACATATTTTTCAGCTTAACTGTCAATTTTTCATATTTGTCACTTAATTACTCATTCACTTATTTATAAAAATACAATTCAGTTTTAAAATATTAACTTTTCTTTTTCATGTATTGGTCAAATTATTTGCTACAGAATAAAGTTTTCTAGTATTACTGGGGAAAATACAGTGTTTCACCCACATGTTAAAAAACTAGCAGACAAACAGGAGTGAGAATGTATTAATTCCACAACCTCATTGAGGGGGATAGAAACAGATCAATAGAAAGCTGAGGATGGACCTCTGTTCATCTCAGTGGCTGCACCTGTGGGAAATTTGATCACATACATTTAGATTATATATATGGATCTCAGCTGAAAGCATTTGGAAGATTTCAGTTACAGAACTGTAAAGTTTAACGTCACGGTATGAAATGTGCAAAACTTACAGTAAAGAAAGATATCAGTGAAATGATTATGGATATTATGGCCAAACTTTGTGTATAATCCTCCAAACATTAGGTAATCCCTGACATTTGGAGAGATCTATAGGCCTAAAATACTGCTAATAAGAAATTGCTGATTGGTAAGCCAAGCACTTCTCATGGATAGCCGAAGTTCTGATTTTATAGTCTTTTTCAAATTAGAATTTGTTTTTGTCTCTCTTTTTGGGGGCTGACATCACTTTTGTAATGTGTCGTGTCTCGGTACATCAGTGACCAAGGCGCCGAAGGAAGTTCTGAGGTCACTGTTCAACTCTGTCTTCCAGCTGGCAGTGTTTTTGTAGTACTGCCAAATTTGAGTGTGGCCACTCCCAAGGTTTCTCAAATTGTTTTAGTGGAGATACACTGTTTCAATTTATTATTGAGTGACTGTGTTAGCATTCATTGGTAGTAACACAGTGGCCGTCCATTTTATGAACTGAACTCGTCCAACATTAATTAATTTAGATTCAGAACACCCCTGTGAAGTAAAGTACTACTTTCCTGATTTGAGTAGAGGAGGATACTAATGAACAATAAGATTCTGTGAGGTGCTGAGTACCAACTTCTCCCCTTGAAGTCATTAGAAGTTGAGAATGCTCAGCGCCTGAGAGGAGCAGGGCCCAAATGACTTGCCGTGGGATACACAGGAAATTGGTGACAGACCTGACAATAGAGCCCTGATTTCTGCCTCCTAGACTTTTGCTTCAGCCACAATACTTTTTTTTTTTAAAGCATCCTAAAAATTCTGCAGATTCTTTTTATAATGCAAATGTCTACTGTACATGAGACAGTTATTCTACCAACTTTTTTTTTTCTCCTATTAGGCACTCTTTTGATATAGTGAACCAGGTTCTGTGCTGAGTTACAAGGTGTAAATCTGTAGAATCTCAGTTTAATGTGTAACTCAGCACAGAACCTGGCCTAGTATTTCTTCATGATAGAGCGTGCTTAAAGAAAGATGCCCAATTCTTGGATTTGAATATTTGTATTAAGAAATTATATGAAAATACAATTGTGATGAGCACCTTAGTAAACAACTGATTCTGTACTTCACAATTAGACAAACATGATTTTATGATCTAAAAATCTATAGGCAAACATTTCAACTAAATGCTTTCAATATTCAGTATTAAGTTGATTTGGTCATATGAATTTGGTGGTTTCAAAAGGTGTCAGATTTCCAGCCCTGGAAGTAGAAGTTCTCTGTTCACAGAAGAGGTAGAGCATGTGTCTCTGTTCTCACCTAGCAGGCTACCTCTTAGTGTAAAAGTCTGCTGAGATTTTGTGCTGGTTGGTACATTCGTACCAACTGGTACCATTTCTGATTGTGATTTCTGTGATATGGGCACCTGTCCACTGGGAATTGAACTGAAAACACCAAAATCATTTCACATTGACCACTAAACATGAAACAAGATGATAACAGCCCTTGGTTGCTACCAGTCTGGGCTGTATTGGAACCAGTGATCTACAGAAGAAAAGTACGGTATCCTTTTACCAGAGCCACCCAGTTTCTTATGTCTACAGGAGGTTGTATCTTTACATTGTCAGATTTTCAACTGATGGATCACTGTGTACTCTCTGTAAAGAGACAAACCCAGCCCCAAAAGGAAGTAAGTTGTAACATGGAGATTTTGACTTTGGAGATGGATTAAAAAGGGAGAAAAAGGAATAATCCTGTAGGACTTGTCCTTTTGCTCTACACTTTTCCTCTACTCCCAGAGGAAAACAGTGTCAACTTTTAATTTCAGTCTATCATTAGAAGTAAGCAGATGGTTGTTTTGACAATATATCTCCATATAGACTTTTGCTTCCAAGGATACTGAACATTAGCTGAGATAATGCTATATGGGATAAAACTGTTACCAACCTTTCAGTTTGTGTATCTATTCTGTAGGAAGTTCAGGATAACCTGGCTGATGCCAATGAAGAGTTAAATCATCTACGCACTAAGTGTGCAGACAGAGAGGCTTTAACAGGCACTTTAAAAATGGAACTACAGAATGTACTGCACTGCTGGGAGAAAGAGAAAGTCCGTGCCACGGAATCGGAAAATGAAATCCAGAAGCTTACCAGGGCTTACCAGAAGGATACTGAGGTATTACCAGAGACAAGATGACTGTCAAAAACAGCCTTTATTTAATCTTAGCTTTGTACATTTACATACATCAGATGGTTGCTTTATGTCTTACCAGATGTATCAGCAAAATATGATTTTTAAGATACATATTTTGAAATGTGTATTTAGAATCTACAAAATTTTCAAGTGTCTTAATTCTCTTTCATTCCAATTTATAAAATGAGTTAACAGTTTAACCCTTCTGGTCATTTACATTTTAAAATATCTGTCTCTTAGCAAGCATTGTTTAGGGCAAATGAATTTATTTAAAGAATCATGCCTGGGGTGTACTGGGTTTTTTTTGTTACTTAGTTGAAAGTAAATATGTACATTTTGTATTTGGAATATCTTGGTGTTAATTACTGATTCAAATAGCAACCCCTCCCCCCTCCAAAAATTGCAAACGTGGAATTGAGGTCATTTTGTTCCCCACTACCAAACTAGTGTTTCCTGTGCTTCTTTGGAGTGATTGCACCTGTACATTTCATTTCAGGTGTGTGTGTTCCCAGTGCCTGAGGGCCAGAGACTTTCTCTTAGCAGTACGGATTAGGGAGGCGCATTCATCCTTAGCAATTTTGCACCACTGCACAAGGATATAAAGGGGAGATGCTTAGTCCTCCCCCTTAATTCCGTCTTATCACCCATGATCGGTAGTTGGAGTGCGGCAGACTGTAGTCAGAGTTCTCCCACTTCGTGGATTTTTATCTTCCTCCTGTAAATAGTAGTACTTGTTAGTGTATGTTTTCTTTATTTTCTCTTACAACTTTGAGCATCTGATTCCTAGTATACAAAGGGAACTGGTACTGGGATATTTTTCGGTCTCTGGGCTACAAGTCTTGTGTCAGCTTCAAAAAATCTGAGCTGGTGAGTGACCCTCATTCCAGGTATCTAAGGTGCCTTGAAGAGGGTCACATTTGAGTTCATTGCAAGATCTGCAGACACTTCAGATCCCAGACCAAAAAAACAAAAAAAAAGACTGAGATGAGACTGCATTACCTCCTTATGGAGGCCACCTGCATCCACCTTCTGAACCTTTCCTCTTGGGGCAGGCCCTGAGTACTTCTACCTCTGTTAGGAGTGCCCCTCTGGACACTGCATCAAATAATAGGCGCTATTACCCTTCTCTGGTGCTGAAGAAGAAGCACAGAGCATCAAAGCAGCATTTCCTAAAGAAGCCAAGCTCCTCTAGAAGTTTGAGGTTCCCTGTACTGTCCACTAGTAAACCACTGGGAGATAGAGTATCCTCTGGAAAGAGGTACTCCCTGATACTGATTTTCTTCGCAAGAATTGTCAACTCCAGCTCATCGAGGATTGTCAACCTCCACTGCAGTTCTCACCCCTTTGATGCAATAACAGCATCATCATGGAAATATCTTGGTATGGAAGGCACTGGAATTATATATAGCACCATGGGACCTGCTCTTCCTCGTGACGCTGGATTCTCCAGTAGTACAGGAGACAAAACAGCTAGTAACAGCTGGTCCTCGGGCCCTGTCTGAGACAAGTTCAGTCTTCAGTGCCATGGCAACATCTTCATACTATCCAGTGATTCCTCATCCAGTATAGTCCAGAGGTAAACCCATCATGTTGTTCCCTGTACTGACATCTCTGGAGAGACATCTTAGCACCTTGGCACCATCTGATACAATATCTCCATGGTCAGACAGCTCAGGGTCCTTCTTGGAGTCTAAGATCCTAGTTCGTATGGCCCTAGCTCCTGGGAGAGAAGGAGACACCTTTCTTGTGAGGATTCCACTTCTGATACCCCCTGGATTTTCTGAGACTCATATCCTTGGGATGGTCATGACTGGGGTTCTATGGCTGACTGAAACCCATTGGGCTTGCCTCCCGACACCGGTACCTTCTTCATATAGATCCCCAAGCAGACACAAGGTTAGCTCCCATGAAGAGGCCCATGATGTTATCCCCAGTATACCCAGCCAGAACCTCAAGACCAGCCTCAGATTTTAGAACCTCAATCTTCTTTGCACTTTTCTTCATCTCCTGACAAGGGTGTGGAGTCTGAGGTTTCTTCACCTGTTCAGGATCACTACAGGGCCTACCTAAAGAGAGTAGCTGCCTTGATATTCAGGAGAATTCCCATAAGCTGGTGGACATACAGGGTTGGCTCTACCTATAAACAGAGCCATTCTAGAATCTACAAAATATTTGTGGCAACTGCCATCCTCTCTGTCTCTGACAGCTAAGAAGACAGAGGGAAGGTACTATGTCCCTTCTCAAGCTATGCACATTTTTACACCCATCCTTCTCCAGGCTCCTTAGTTGTCTTGGTAGTGAATGAAAGAGTGCATCAGGAATTGCCTTCTATCACAAAGGACAAAGATGCAAAGAGACTAGACCTTTTCGGTAGAAAGATTTATTCCACAGCTGGCCTACAGTTTTTTTAATGCTAAGTAGCAAAATACTGGCCAAATACAACTTCTCTTTCTGGGACAATGAAATGAAGTTCTAAGACAAATTGCCAGATGATGCCAGGCAGGAATTCTAGGTTATTTTAGAAGAGGGAAAACTGGTGGCTAGGACCTCTCTGCAAGCTGCCTTTCATGGGGCAGATTCAGCAGCCAGAGCATGGCATCTACAGTAACTATGCACAGATGTTCATGGTTTCAATTGTCTGTGCTCCCGCAGGAGGTCCAGCAGACTATCCAGCATCTCCCCTTTGAAGGTCCTGCCCTGTTCTCATAGAAGACAGATGATAAGCTCCACAAACTCTAGGATTTGAGGGCGATGCTGAAATCATTGGGAATTTATACTCCTTTCCTTAAAAGAAAGCAAATTCTATCCTCCGTCTCTCCAGAGGTACCCGCTTGTCCTGCCTAAACAGCCTGACCATTCTGGGAAAAGGGAGGAAAAACCAGAGGAGGAGATGCCCACCACCTCAGTTTTCTTCTACTGCAGGTTCTTTGAGACAGTTGGGAAATCCCCAAGCAGTCTGTTTGAGTTTCTTGTCAGGGACAGAGTGCCAGATCATTATGTGCAAGTTTCTCCCTCCTCGAAGATTATCCCACTTTCATACATGCTCAGACCCATATTATTATGGATAGATGGGTTCTAGGTACTTGGGGTCAGGGATACACTTTGCAGTTTATTTCCAACCCTACCTCCCATCCCCCTTCCCTATCCGTCTGAGGGACCAGTCTCACGAGGCTGTCCTCCTCCAGGAGGTCCAGTCTCTCCTTGATTTGGCAGCTATGGAAGAGGTTCCCCCTTTCCATGGAGGGAAAGGCTTCTGTTCACATTACTTCGTGATTCAAAAGGCGGTCTCAGAATTATCCTAGACTTGCAAAATTTTAAACAAATATATACAGAAAATAATTTTTTCATGGTCAACCTAACCTCCATCATCGCCCTGGATCCTGACAACTGGGTACACTGCTCTCAATCTGAACGATGCACGTTTCCGTGTTGCTATCCATTTAAGCCACAGGAGACTCCTAAGACTTCTGGTCAACAACACCCATTATCAGTTTATGGTCCTGCCCTTTGGCCTGGCTGCTGCCCCATGAGTATTTACAAAATGCATGGCAGTCGTGGCTTCATTCTTACGGAAAGCAGACATGCAAGTATTTCCTTACTTGGACAACTTGATGGTAAGAGCAAAAACAAAAGGAGTACTTGTGGCACCTTAGAGACTAACCAATTTATTTGAGCATAAGCTTTCGTGAGCTACAACTCACTTCATCGGATGCATACTGTGGAAAGTGTAGAAGATCTTTTTATATACACACAAAGCATGAAAAAATACCTCCTCCCCCCCACTCTCCTGCTGGTAATAGCTTATCTAAAGTGACCACTCTCCTTACAATGTGTATGATAATCAAGGTGGGCCATTTCCAGCACAAATCCAGGGTTTAACAAGAACGTCTGGGGGGGGGGGGACGGGTAGGAAAAAACAAGGGGAAATAGGTTACCTTGCATAATGACTTAGCCACTCCCAGTCTCTATTCAAGCCTAAGTTAATTGTATCCAATTTGCAAATGAATTCCAATTCAACAGTTTCTCGCTGGAGTCTGGATTTGAAGTTTTTTTGTCGTAATATAGCAACTTTCATGTCTGAAATCGTGTGACCAGAGAGATTGAAATGTTCTCCGACTGGTTTATGAATGTTATAATTCTTGACATCTGATTTGTGTCCATTTATTCTTTTACGTAGAGACTGTCCAGTTTGACCAATGTACATGGCAGAGGGGCATTGCTGGCACATGATGGCATATATCACATTGGTGGATGTGCAGGTGAACGGGCCTCTGATAGTGTGGCTTATGTTATTAGGCCCTGTGATGGTGTCCCCTGAATAGATATGTAGTCACAGTTGGCAACAGGCTTTGTTGCAAGGATAGGTTCCTGGGTTAGTGGTTCTGTTGTGTGGTATGTGGTTGCTGCTGAGTATTTGCTTCAGTTTGGGGGGCTGTCTGTAGGCAAGGACTGGCCTGTCTCCCAAGATTTGTGAGAGTGTTGGGTCATCCTTCAGGATAGGTTGTAGATCCTTAATACTGGGAGTGGCTAAGTCATTATGCAAGGTAACCTATTTCCCCTTGTTTTTTCCTACCCCTCCCACCCCCCCTCAGACGTTCTTGTTAAACCCTGGATTTGTGCTGGAAATGGCCCACCTTGATTATCATACACATTGTAAGGAGAGTGATCACTTTAGATAAGCTATTACCAGCAGGAGAGTGGGGTGGGAGGAGGTATTTTTTCATGCTTTGTGTGTATATAAAATGATCACCTACACTTTCCACAGTATGCATCTGATGAAGTGAGCTGTAGCTCACGAAAGCTTATGCTCAAATAAATTGGTTAGTCTCTAAGGTGCCACAAGTACTCCTTTTCTTTTTGCGAATACAGACTAACACGGTTGTTACTCTGAAACCTGTCATGGATGGTAAGAGGTTGATCCAAGCTCCAAATAAAACTCAGTCTATACAGCATCCAGTCCGTCTTCAATGTTCTGAGCCTGTTGTTCAACGAGGACAAGTCTGTCTACTTCCCAGTTCAGAGCAATCCTGGATTCTATAGTAGCTGGATGTTCCTACCTCAAGCCATTTCCACACAATATTAAACTTTTCTACAGATCTCAAAGCCCATACAGTCACTACAGTAAGAAGCTGCCTCAGGCTACTGGGACACATGGCCACCTGCATGTATGTGTTTCAGCATGCCAGACATTGTCTCAGAAAGCTGCAGAGCTGATGAAAATCCGTGTACTCTCTGGCTCGTCACCTATTGGACATGCTGATTTGAGTACCTGCAGGAGTACAAGCCTCATTGGTCTGGTGGATAGGTCCCTCTCTTACCCACATTGATTGTGATTACAGATGCTTCTTCTCTAAGCTGGGGAGCTCACTTAGGAAACTTAGAAACTCAAGGTCTGTGGTCTCATCAAGATTTGGCTGGCCACATAAACCGTGGGCATTGTGGGCTATTCATCTGGTCTGTTGAGCTTTTCTCCTTCATGTCAAGGGAGAGACCCAAGTCCTCCTGGACAACACTGGCGATGTATTGTGCAACAGGGAGGGGCCAGTCAGACCGCCTCTGTCAAGAGGCGATAGATCTTTGGAAGTTTTGTGTCACTAGTGCAATACATCTCTAAGCCTCCCATGTTCCTGGTGCTCAGAACTGTCTGGCAGATCACCTGAACAGTTCATTCAGCAGAGATCACAAGTTGTCTCTCAGGTTGGATATTGTCAGATACATTTTAAAAATGAATGTGGAGGGGTCCTTGACATAGACCTGTTTGCTGCTCGTCTCAACAGAAAGTGCCAATTCTTTTGTTCCAGGGCAGGTCATGGGCAGGGCTCTCTGACTGACAAAATTCTGTATGCCTACCCTTCCATTCCGCCCCACAATCCATGTGCGGGAAATCCCCCTTCTTGTGTCTTGGTCATCTGCACTGCCAGCAGACAACTGGTCTGGACCCTGTGGGAGCTCCTTGGGTGTCCTCCCATTTGTTCCCTGAGCCCTTCCCAGGCAGGTTTTCCCTGGGCCTTCTCCTGGTCTCCATGTCCCTGCTCGGCCACCCCTCCTTCCTGGGGAAGTCTGCCTCTGCATACTCTTCCATAAGCTTTATAGCCGACTCATCCGTATTCAGTTGGTGTCTCCTCACCCACACCTTTATGTTCTCATGGAGACTCTGTAAAAACTGCGTTAGGACAAGTGTGTCCATAATCTCCCCCACTGTCTGGGCATCTGGCCTCAGCAGGTGGCCCAGTCCATTAACTTTTGGGTGAATGCCCAGGGCCACAACCCCCGCATCCACCTCGCCGACCAGAACTTTTGTCGGTACTTCTCCAGGGACAGCCCCACCCGATCCAGTCTGGCTGCCTTTACCACTTCAAAATTCTTGGCCTGCTCTTCACTTAGGGCCATGTAGGCTGCTTGGGCTTCGCTGGCTAGGTAGGGAGCCAGTCACAGGGCTCAGGTTGCCCTGTCCCATCCAGCCCCAGCAGCTACCCGCTCAAATGTGCCTAGAAAGGCTTTGGGGTCATCTGTCAGGCCCACTTTACATAGTCCTAGACCTGGCACCTGCCACCCCCTCCCATGGGACTCACCACTTTCTGCAGGAGTTGCTGTTGGATGACAGCCTGCTCCCGAATGAATTCCTGCAGTCTCTTCTGCTGTTCTGCCTGCCAGGTGAGCAAGGCCTGTCTCTCCAGCTGGTGGGCTTGCTGAAGACTCTGCATTGCTTTCTGCACCACCTCCTGCTGCTTGACCAGCCATTGCAGGGTTTCCTTCATCTCCGGGCGGCCAAACACTTGCTCTGGCACAAGATCCTGGCCAAGCCCCGACATGTAGCAGAGTGCAGCAGGGCCCCTGTGGCTCCTGCCTCTGCTCAGTCCACAGAGTCACTCAGACTTCTGGGGTTAGTAACCACTGGTGCAGTTTATTCACAGACTTGTTACCACCACCGTTTCACCATGTACAGTTGGCCTTTCACCATCTGCAGGCAGGAGGGAGGGAAGCACTACCTCCCTGCTTCCACTCCCTGCCTTTTCACTTTCTTTCTGCTCTCCCCTCTCCCGGCGTCCTTCCTCTGAAGCATTTATACAGCCCCAGGCTAATCAGGCGGCAGCTGTCTCTGCTTCCCCAATTAGGGCCAGGTTACCTCTATCCAGCTCTAATTTATTGCCCTAAATGGGAGCTGGAGTGACAGAAGGCTGACTCAGCAAGCCTTTGCCCAGCACCTTGTCGCACTGGAATATTAGTTCTTCAATCCTTGTTCTGAAACTCACCTCCAATTTGAACTGCTTGTGAGTCACATGGCATGGAACGGACATGTGCAATCAGTTGAAGAAAAATGGTTATTAATCTCTTCTGTAACTGTTGTTGTTCGAGATGTGTTGCACGCATCCATTCTGTGACCCACCCTCCTTTCCCTCTATATTGGACAGGGCCAGCTCTACTGTTTTTGCTGCCCGAAGCAGCGCGCTGAATTGCCGCCACGGGCGGCTGAAGATAGAGGTTGCCGCAGAATTGCCGCTGCCGCGGAAACGCCCTAACGGCACACGGGCTGCTGCCCCTTGCAGATTGTCACCCCAAGCACCTGCTTGGAACGTTGGTGCCTGGAGCCGGCCCTGATATTGGAGTTTCTATGCAGTCAGATGGAATTGAGGAGGGTTGAGGGAGGCCTCACCCCTTTTTTACCATCATGCAGCAGTGTGAAAGTCCTTTGGGCTCATGTGCTGCCCCAATAGGTATCACTAAGGAAAAAAATCTCTGATTCTGGTTCACTGGGCACGCACACATCTGAAGTGGAGTGGACATGTGCAACGTATCTTGAAGAACAACAGTTACAGAACAGATTAGTAACTGTTTGTTTTTTCTTTGTGTATTAGCTGATTGTGGTATGCTATATGTGGTAATTGCTTCATGAAGCTTTACTTCAAAACTAGATTTCCTCATATGGTTGTTTACTGATCTTAATAAGTGCTTCCTTTTAATTTTCTCCACATAAAATAGTTCTGCATTAGCTGTATCAATCATATTCTTTATCTCAATTGTTCTGCATATTGAGCTCATTAATCCAGCAAATATGGTCACAATTGCCAAACTGAGTAAAAAGGAAACATTCTTTCCACCCTTCTTACAGTCTGGGATTTAAATTGCGTCCACATGAAGCAGTTGGAACTGTTCTACACATCAGATAGTGATTAAAGGAAAGGAAACTAGAAGCCTGCCTGTATTGTAAAGTCAGCATGTCTACTTGTGGTTGAGATCAAGATGTGAGAGTTGATTCTAAGTCTTGGGATTTCTTTTTCTCACCAAAGGGATGATTATCATGCTTGGTTTATCACAGCCCAAACAAAAAGGAAACAATGGTGACATGGTTAAACTATTCCCAGGGAAGTAGAAGATTAGGTTGTAACATTTTATAAAATGTTTTGTTGCTTAAAAATCTTACAAACAAACAACAAAATATACCCAAATGTAGTTGGAGAAGACACAGTAATAATTGCTGTTGCTCTGGGGGTGGGGTTAGGGGAAGATGCAGAGAGTCCTGAATACCTTTATGAAGTCTCATGATTTCTTGACTTAGTACCTGATCCAATACCCATTGCTTTCATTGTGCATTGTTCCATTGGCTAAATGGGCTTTGGATCAGAGCCCTAGTTGTGGTGTTGGAACCATCTTTGATTTGTCTTAATTTTAAGATGCTAAACTTCATAGATGGACTAAATAGATGCACAAAAAGATTCTGATCACACCCTGGTGTGAATAAGTACTAACACTACCGGTGTCAATTCAGTATGCTATAGTGTAAAATCCAATGTAAATGAAATCAGGATCAGGCTTGTAGAGTTTAACTGCTGCTCATAAAAACCTGTTTTGTACAGTTATGTGTTCACATATAATCCATGTATAGAACAAACATCAAATCAAATTATTTCTAAAACAGAAGCACATTTTTAAAATAACCTAATTTGGTGTTTGTATAATCAAATTTTGTGCTGCCATACTAATTAAATTTTTGTTCGAGTATATACTGTACATGTTATGTTATGCTATGTACTGGAAGCAGGTATAATCTGTACGGAACTTCAATCCAGTGGAATAAGTGTGTGTGGTGGTGGGGAGAGATTTTAAACATTAGTAAAATGACCAGTAATTTCATATACTTAGTTAAAGAAATGAAGGAATCAATTCTGCAAATATTTATTACAGGTCATGGTATTTACTATTATGAGGATTTTAGGGCAATATGTATTTATACATTATATCTGGTTAAACTCAGTTTACAAAATCTTCTTTTTCTCTTCTGATTTTTGTAAGTGCATTTGGGCACATATTAAGAATAGTTCTATTTAAATTGAAATAGAATTTCAGAATATGAGTAATTATGTCTTCAGATCTGTACAGAACACACAAGATTTGTGTGCATGATGTATCTCTATAGAGTCTAATATTTAGAGTCTAGAGCTAGTCGAATATTTATATACAACAGTGATTTTTTCTTTTTTTGTCTCTCAGGAGAAGCTAACCTTCCTCCATACTTTATATCAGCATTTGGTAGCAGGCTGTGTGCTTATAAAACAACCAGAAGGCATCCTGGATAAATTCTCCTGGCCTGAGCTTTGTGCAATCTTGCAGGAGAATGTTGATGCCCTGATCTTAGACCTCAGCAGGGCTAATGAGAAGGTAACTGTCCTTAGGCGCCAGATACCTCTATTAAATTCAGTGACATTTGTCCACATCACAGTATCATTAAAAGGGACTGACATTCATCTTATTTCAAAAAGAATTTGGACTTTAATAATTCAATACCATTAATTATGGCTTGTCTACAACTCAGTTTGATGCCATTGCTGTGGGCATGTAAATGTGACTGAAGTCTCTAAGCTCCACTTTCTGTGCAGGACATGCTAATACTACTAGCCAGTATTAACCACAGGGACCTAATTAAAAGAAAATAAATTAATCTTACTGATGAAGCAATTCAAAGAACTTAGTCATTTATACTAATAAACCAACACTTTATCTTAGCATAAAAGAGAAACAAAATACAGGGGCATCATCTTAAAACCATTTGCTTGTGAATCAAAATCCTGTTTTTAGAAAAATGTAATTATTTGGTTATGGCATTTATAGTCTGAAATATAATTATTTAGGAACCACCATTATGAATTTAAAAATTATAAATATTTGTTTTGGGGGACACAGGATACTTTTATGGGTGATTTCATAAAGCTAAGTCTGTTCAAAAGAAACATATTTTTCAGAAATCTGTTTTGTTACAATAAATTAAACTGGCTCAGCAGACTAACATATGCTGCTCCAAAGGATTTCCATTCATGTTCTGGTTCCATTGATCGGGTCAGCACTATGTTTCTGTGGTCTAGAAGAAAGATTCCAGATCTTGGCTATGCTGACATTTGCTCTTGAGGGACAAGAAGGGGAAAACTTTCATGAGTTTCTCATCTGTTGGAGTTATGAACACTCTCTTGGCTCAAATTCAAGAACAGGGTTGCTTACAGTTAATCATTTTGACTCTGCCTCTATTAGTAAATATCCCAGCAGTCAATGGAAAACATTAACAGGGTTTGGTTAGACAATGATGTGGATCATGCAGATTAGACATGGAGGAAACACCTCCCTTCTCCTTTCAGAGGAAAGAGAAAAACAACAAAATTACTGGTAGTTTTTAAGTACAGTAGTTGAGATGGGCCAGCAAGTGTTTTCAGTGATATTTCAGGGACATCAGTTTCTTAGAATTTAACAGACAGTGTTGTCTGCTGCATTAGAACTGCTCATCTCTTAACAGAGATTTTTCACCTGCAATTCTCTAAAATGTATAGAAAAGAATATTGACCATACGTTTAGATTTAGTATTGAAAAATGCAGGCATGCCTATTTGAGATAATTCGTAAATGAAAACACAGTTCCATTTAGCTTTAATAGAAGTTGCACGGCTAAAGCCTTGATCTCTAAATTATACCCCTTAATCTGCTCATTGAAATGCATCATAAAATTAACAAGCTTGCCTGTGAAAAGAGGCATCATGTGTACTGTAAAGCTCTCTTAAATTGTATTAATGCTCAGAAAATACAAGTAATGCTTTGGTTTTCAAATAAAACATTACATAAAAATGCAACCTCTGATTTTCATTATCACTTAACTTGCTGTATGATTATTGTGCTAGGATTATTAATTATATAGCACCATAATTGTTCTCTGCACATTTCAAAACAAATAAGATAAGGTTCCTGTCTAGAAGAATTCTGACATGGACCCACATGAAACCTGGGCATCTGTTCAGCTACAGGAGTGTATAGAGATGACAACATTGATGAGATCAGCATAGATTGGATTTTTTGGAAGAAGTGGGTTTTAAAGACAGATTTGAAGCAAGAGATCTGTGACATGCTTATCTTTTTAATTCTGTGCTGTCTGAAGAAAATGCAATCAAGGTCTTCTACCAAAAGAATCTCTCTTTAAAGTAGGATTTAAAACAAACACGAAGGTGCATTTTTGTTTGTTTAATCTTTTTTAAAATATCTTTGATGCAGATATCTCATCTAGAATATATTTGCAAGAACAAGTCTGATACCATGAGGGAACTTCAACAGACCCAGGAAGACACTTTTAACAAAGTGGCTGAGCAGATGAAAGCACAGGAAAGCTGTTGGCAGAAACAGAAAAAGGGGTTGGAGCAGCAGTACTCTGGACTCCTTGGGGAAGTTCATGCAAGGGCACAGGTACTGTACTTGTTCCAGAAAGCTCTAAATGACTAATTTTTTTCTTTAAATATTTAGTATATTATTTCAGTATTTTGAGTTTCAAACCAGTTTAAAGTTGCTTAGGAATTTGAGTATATATTTTTTTATTTTAAGTATTTTTTATTAACAACTTTTACTTACTTTAGGAAATGAATTACTTTCTGTTAAAACATTCCTGAAATGCATTGCTTAATTAGATCCTGCAGTTGGATTCCCCCCATCCCCTTCCCCCCCAGCTTTTTTTTTTTTTTTTTGAAGAGGTTAAAGCTATACAGTGAAAAGATATATTTCTTTGTAGAATTACATAGAGCCCCAGTTGCTTTTTCCAATATGGACCCCCCCCCTCCTTCTGAGAGTTTGTAGAATAAAAGTGATTTGAATTCACTGTGGAATGGAATTAGGTATATAAATTCTGAACCCAGGAGCAAATTAGTAGTTGCGGTAACAATGTTAAATAGTGTAATAGTCCCTTTTGTTTCATGCACTACAGTGAAACAAATAACTGTGACTTGAGTTATGTGCACTGAGCTTGAAGTTTAATGTTTTTATGAAAGGTTGAAGACTGTCAGCTCTGGAAACTGAAGTTCTCTCTGGGCAGATAAAAGCTACACACGCTAACATGCCAGTGTGCCTCAACCGTCACCAGGATGGTCCACTTCATGTTGAGATGGTTCTTTGCTCTTTTAGCTTTTTACTTCTCTATTGAGACTGAAATGTTAGGTTTTTTCTCCTCTTTCTTTACCAAGTTGGATGGGACTCAGGTCAGTTACTTGAAGGTAGAGGTCCCAGTATCTCAGTGCCAATGCAGTCCATCACCTTCCTCTCAACTGTCCTGCTGATGAGGTATGACTGAAACTTTCCTGAGAGGGAGTTCAGCTTTTAAAAGTTTGGGAAATGCTGTGTTATGCCAAATTCAGGATGACTTCTTCCTGTTTATGAATAGGACCCTACCAAATTCACAGCAATGAAAAACGCGTCGCGGACTGGGAAATCTGGTCTTTTGTGTGCTTTTACCCTGCACTACACAGATTTCACAGGGGAGACCAGGGTTTCTCAAATTGGGGGCCCTAACCCAAAGGGAGTTGCAGGCGGGTCACAAGGTTATTTTAGGGGGTTTGTGGTATTGCCACTCTGACTTCTATGCTGCCTGCAGGGCCGGGTGGCTGGAGAGCAGCAGCTGTTGGCCGGTGCTCAGCTCTGAAGGCAGCGCCTCACCAGCAGCAGCGCAGAAGTAAGGGTGGCAGTACCATACCACGTCGCCCTTACTTCTACACTGCTGCCTTCAGAGCTGGGCGGCCGGAGAGCGGCAGCTGCTGACTGAGGGCCCACCTCTGCAGGTAGCAGCACAGAAGTAAGGGTGGCAATACCATACCGTGCTGTCCTTACTTCTGCGCGGCTGCTGGAGGTGGCCCTGCCTTCAGAGCTCGTCTCCTGGCCAGCAGCCACCCCTCTCCAGCTGCCCCCTCTACAATAACCTTGATGCACCCCCTCCCCCAGCACTCCTTTTTGGGTCAGGACCCCTACAACTACAACACCATGAAATTTCAGATTTAAATAGCTGAAATAATGAAATTTACTATTTTTAAAATCCTATTACTGTGAAATTGACCAAAATGGATTGTGAATTTGATAGGGCTCTATCTATGAATGAGCAGGACAAGAGGTAAATGCAGGGTGTGAATTCTTGTTCCTGAGCCCAAGGTGCCTGTATTTCCTTCTACTCCATCCTGTGTAGTCACACCTATCTGGAGTGGGTTTAAATCTCTGTCATGGCAGTATGGTTGCTTATTTTACACACACTTTGCACAGATATAAATGACTACAAGCTGCAAGGCAGTAGAGAATCAGGCCATGTTCTACACTCCTCAGGGTTCTCCATGACTGTATCCTTGAACATTGACGATGGGGGGTTGCTCTTAGCCCTGTTTTTGCACCATTGCTTTTGCTGTCATTTTTAAGGAAGTTGGTGCTGGACCTGAATTTGACGCAACATGTTTGGGAATCAGGCCTTTTAAAATATGATTTTATATATATTCTACTGTGTCTCTCAGTGATGAATGCTAGACACTTAACATTTTCTTTTGCATGGAGAAAGATGACTGTTTTGATTTATTTTTTCTAGTAAAGAAATAAACACTGTTAAGTAGTAATGGCACAAAATGAGAATACTGCTGACACCAGCAGAAGAATATAATAATATTTTGCACTTGTATAGTGTCTTCCACCCCAGGATCTCAAAGTGTATGACAAAAGTTAATGAATTAAGCCTTGCAAGACCACTTTGAGATACAAAATTATTATTAAGCTAATTTGATATTCACCCTGCTTCCTTCCAGACATTCACTGCTGAAGATTGCGTAAAAGTTTAAATAAGGGACTTACAAGCTGTGTTTAATTTTGCAGGCAGTCGTCAGTGTTAGTATAGAACATTGAGAACTGTCTCTGCACAGAGGTACACCTTGGAAATCTTTTGATGAGGTCATCAGATTAATTGACAGCTGTGGCTGTATAGCAGCATGAATAATGCTACTTTGAGACTGTTGGGTGGTTAGTATTGCATTGGTGCAGTAAGCCTTCCAAAGTGCAATGTAAGATTTCAATACCTGGCTTTTTACTATTAAAATATAACCGTTCAATTTGGAAGCTTTGTGCCAGTATTGTAAGACACCTGGCAGTGCTGCTGTCTTCAGCCTGTAGCATTCAGGGCCCCGATCACAAATAGGGTCTTTGGGTGCTGCTAGATAATACTCTACAACAGGGGTTCTCAAACTGGGGGTTGGGACCCCTCAGGGGGTCACGAGGTTGTTACATGGGGGGTTGCGAGCTGTCAGCCTCCACCCCAAACCCCGCTTTGCATCCAGCATTTATAATGGTGTTAAATATATAAAAAAGTATTTTTAATGTATAAGGAGGGTCACAGTCAGAGGCCTGCTATGTGAAAGGGGTCACCAGTAAAAAAGTTTGAGAACTACTGGTCTACAACTGTTGCTCTCAGTTAATTAGATGACCTAATTAGAAAGCAGGTTAGGGTTGCCAACTTTCTACTCACACAAAACCGAACACCCCTGCCCCACCCCTGCTCTGAGGCCCCACCCCCCGCTCACTCCATCCCCCCTCCCTCTGTTGCTTGCTCTCTCCATCCTCACTTGCTCATTTTCACCGGACTGGGGAAGGGGGTTGGGGTGCAGGAGGGAGTGAGGGCTTTGGCTGGGGTTGCAGGCTCTGGGGTGGGGCCAGGGATGAGGGGTTTGGGGTGCAGGAGGGTGCTTTGGGCTGGGGGGGTGGAGCCAAGGGGTTCAGAGAATGGGAGGAGGCTCTGGGCTGAGGCAGAAGGTTGGGGTGTGGGAGGGGTCTGGGCTGGGGGTGCAGGTTCCGGGGTGAGGCCAGAAATGAGGAGTTCAGGCTGGGGAAGGGGATCGGGGTGCAGAAGGGGGGAGGGCTCCAGCTCGGGGTGTGAGCTCTGATGCAGAGCCAGGGATGAGGGGTCTGGGGTGTAGCAGGGTGCTCCGGGCTGGGATCGAGGGGTTTGGAGGGCTGGAGGGGGATCAGGGGGTTGGGGCGCTGGAGGGAGTCAGGGGTGTAAGCGCCGGGTGGCGCTTACCTCAAGCAGCTCCCAGAAGCAGCAGCATGTCCCCTCTCTGGCTCCTATGCAGAGGCGCACACAGGCGGCTCTATGTGCTGCCCCATTGCAGGCACCACCCCCGCAGCTCCGATTGGCTACCGTTCCCAGCCAATGGGAGCTGCAGGAGCAGCACCTGTGGACGAGATGGCACGCAGAGCCTCCTGGCTGCCCCTAGGCATAGGAGCTGGAGCAGGGACATGCCACTGCTTCCGGGAGCTGCGCAGAGCCACAACAGGCAGGGAGTCTGCCTTAGCCCCGCTGCGCCATGGACTGGACTTTTAATGGCCTGGTGAGCGGTTCTGACCCGAGCCACCAGGGTCCCTTTTTGACCAGGTGTTTCGATCAAAAACCGGACGCCTGGCAACCCTAAAGAAGTGTCAGTGTTCTTCTGTGGTGGAGAACCTCTCAAACTGGACTTGTCACAGATTACTAGCAAACAGAGATGGCTATAGATGTGTTAGAGGATGCGGGGATCCTCATTGGCAGCTGGGCTTAAAATGAATGTAACTTCCAGTGCTTTTGTGGGAAGAGTAACATCCTCCATTTTGATGTTCATAGAGTCACCTCTGACCTTGAGCAGGGTCTGCCAATAAATTCCTTTAATCTGAAATAAAAATATACATTTGGAAATGTCTGTTTTGAGAAACCTAACAAATATATGGAATGTACTCCCTTGTCTCAGACATGTCATTTCTTCAGATTGTGTGCAGACTTGTAGGAAATATCCTGTCATTTCCAAATATCCATTACTGTGAGTAATTAAAAAAAACAAAAGCAAAAACAGTTTTCACCATTTTAGTGGGCTACATTAAAACTAATATATGTTGTGGCTTTAGCTGCATTGATATCTGCGAAGATACTGGGGTAGAAACAAAAACCTAAAGCTATTAACAAAAAGAGGGATGTTAGTTTCAGCTCTATTAGAAATATAACAAGGTTTGCAAAATAGGAAAGGAAAAAAATCTCTAGGGAGAGAAAATATTTCCTTGTTGATTTGGCATTTATTAAGAAGCAGTGCTTTTTACAGAAGAAGCAGGTGAACCAGCTGAGGACTTTGGTATGTTGCAATTGTATCAAAGGTCACTTATGTAAGATATAAAAATAAAATAGTGGAAATACAGTGAAACCTTTTGAAGTCCAAGTGTCATTAAGTCTCTAGTTTGCAATCTGTCTTCTTGCCAACATAAAGGATAAGGACCCAGCAAGAAATAGGATAAAATAGAGTTCTACTCTCCGGGGGAGTATCTAATTTTTGTTAATGAACTTGAAGTTCACAGAGTTCTTTAACACAGTAGGGCATCCCTCAAAGCTCATATGTTCCAGGAAGTCAGCCCGCCACTCTTAAAGGAGCTAACCCTGCTATCTCTTTCAAAAAAATATACTTTTAAGTTTCTAAGACGATATTAGAAACAATGCAGAGTAAGATACAAACAATTAAAAATTATTGTAAAAGTGAAAACAGATGCAGCTTCATTTTTTTTAAACCTGTGTTTATGGTTAAATAATAATTTATATACCTCTACAATATATTTGAAAGATTTTAGGTTTTGTTCATTTTCTCATCTTGCAAATTTTTAAAAATAAGCATTAAACAGAGTACAGGATGCCAGTGCTGGTATTTCATAGACTTATAGGGATTGCACTTTAAATGTGCTTACTTAAATGCTGGCCTGTCAGCTCTGAGGGTTAGGAACCATAAATTGGTTTCCAAATCCAAATGACCTTTTTAGTGCCTTCCCGACACACTATCAGATAGTATTTGGTTCTTGCAGAATAAGGCCTGTAAATAATGCAGTAGTCCCAAAAGACTTTGTAGATGAACAAATTTCCTTTTAAAGTAGAGTACTGATGCAATAAATCCTGTAAATTAAATTATTAAATTAATCCACTTAATGCATTTCTACATAGTAGAAATACTAAAATAGAAGCGTTTCTTCAAATTTAACTTGTCTTCTACTTTGAAGAGCAACATAGTTGTTCTTTCTAAAAATTGTACCTGGTGTTGCTTGCAGATAAGCTGATTGAGGATACTATGCTATCTTCTATCACAATAATAAGAATTAAAAACTGGAGTCCATATTCTTGTTGGAGTAGCATGGTAAGTCATTGCTATAACACTGTTGTGCTTCCATAGTTTCGGAATGATTGTCCTCCAAAGATTCAAAAAAAGTTAAACTAATTCTGTTGACATACCTGAATATGATGATTTCTATTGTGATTCTTTTATTTAAATCACTGCCATATTTGATCTGACCAGAAGAGGAAAAAAATGGAATAAATAAACCTTTTAGCTTTAGTTAGTGAAGAGTTCAGGAGATATTTCTTTATTTTGAAAATTATGCTCTAGTTTAAATCCACATTTGTCTTTACAGAAATATCAAGAAATTGCAGAAAAAGCCAAGGAAAGATGTTCTGTCATTGAAAAAGCACGAGAGCAGCTGGTCCATGAAAATTCACAATTGAAAAGTATATTAATGCAGACACAAAAGGAACATGCATCTCTGCTGGCAGCCTGTGCACTAATGGGTGGTGCCTTATATCCTCTATACAGCCGATTATGTGCCTTGTCTACACAAAGAGACTTTCTCCAGGATCAGGTCCACACCTATGAAGTACTCAAACAGGAAATTAGGACTCTGGTCAATGCTTTGTCTGATGTAGAGGGAAAGAGGCAAGATGAAGTGAAGATAAAGAAAAAGCATTTCAAAGGCATGATACGTGTGTTCCGGAAAGGTGTTATTGCAGTTCTGGCAGCTCACAGACTTCAAATTTTGGGACGGTCAAGTAGCTCTCTTTTCTCCTGGGTAGATGGTTTCAAAGAAGGCATAGGAATCCTAGTTTGCATAGGAGAGGCCAAGGGGAAACATAATCTATCAAGTAAGATAATTGATATGTTATTTTATAATGTTATATCAGATTACACTGTTGGTTTGTTTGTTTATTTATTAATAATGTGTAAAGACAAATATAATGGTGACTTGACTTGAGAAGATATTTGTATGCACATATTGGATCTGAGACTCCCCCAAATACTAATATTTTCTATCTGTTTATTGAATAGCTGAAAAAGAAGGTGGTGCTGTGTGTGTATATAATAGCATCAGATATCTGTGATAGATTTTTATTACCTTTCCAGAACAAGAGGTTTCAAACATTTCAGTATTGTGCTACCTGGTTCACTGCCCTATGAAGTCTCCAAACAAATGGAGATCCAGAGAAAAGGTCCTAATTAAAAAGCCAAAGTGCTAATCTATGTTATATGTATTTCATACTAAAAATAAAATAGTATTCGTATGGGATTATTAAACCTTCGTTTGCAGAGTACAGTAACTGTAAAGATATTGTACATTTATGGAAGTATGAAAGTAAACAAAAACATATTTACTCATTTTATGGTTTCTCCAAGTAAGAGGAAGTGATAAAAGAACAAGTAATTATTTTCCCCTTTAACAGCTGAAGGTGGCATAGTGCATGTCAACACCATCTAAAATTTCTTGAAAGAAAAGTAGAATCCTGGCATGAATTTTGTGTAAACTTTATTTTGATCAATTTCTTAAACTGAAGATTATAGTTTACCATATATCTCATCCAATGTTACTTTTTATTACATTTTGTTTCACAGAACACCAAAAGGAACAAATCCATGGTCTTCAAGCACTCAGCTGGTTTACTAGTTCTGACCTTCTTGCTGCAATAATCAGTTCGGTGGCTGAATTACAGGAAGTTGTTAGCAAAACAGGTAATTTTTAAATATATTGTTGCAGTAGAGAATATAAAAAGTGGTATGTTATGTGATTTCCTGTTTCTGGATTTTGTATTTTCAAATGTCTTTTCTTCTAGCTTAAATTTCTGGAGGTGGAAAGTTGTTTGGGGAGTCTAATTTTCTTAATCTTTATTGGTAGTTGTACTTGTTTTTTCTCTTTTGGATGCTTTTGCATATATATAACCACACCACCCACACATGGTCACATGTGGTAGTATGTAAATAATAACCCTATGCCACATGTGGTCAGTACTTCTGAATACTTAATGGCAAAAGCAGTAGTTACTTAAGATTGTATCACAAAATGAAGTGGTGAATATGATAGGGTTAACTTTGACATATAATGCATGTTTAATGTTTACTGTCATTTTAGCATTAGTTTATATCTTGCTTCTGTATTTTTTGTTTGTTAGCCTAACAGTTCAGTAATCGCTTACTTACCTGATTTCCAACATGGGTTGCAAAATATACCCTTTTATTCTTTCCCTCCATGCTCTTACAATTTTCCCACATCTCTCTCTATTTAGAGGTTTTCTTATTTAGTGATGTATAGATCGTCATCTTTATTGTTATTTCTTGTAACTCTCATAAGGTCCCAATCAGGATTAGGGCCCCATTATGCTGTATAAACAGCATCTGTAACTACCTGCATGGCAGATTGCATTGATTTCTAGAGAGTGGTAAACAAATATTTGATTCCCTAAATCCCAATACATCTGACCATAAAGGGAAATTAAAGCTTAGCCATTTTAATGAACCATATCTGGATAGTGATTGCCTCCATCTTCCAGTTCAAGATTCATAAAACTTTCTTTTAACTTCTCTGTAAATCTAGCCCAGCGTGGTCAGCCCTATTCAGATTAGGGATATCTAGTAGTTTTGAAATTCTTTCTGTAATATTAAAGAGATGAAGTGACCACTTTCCCTAATATTCGTGAGGTACCAGTGCATGAGACTCACAAGCAGTAGCTTGCTGCTTTGGTAGCTGCTCTCAACTGCACTAAACATTTGTTAATTACAAATTATTGTAAGACAACTCCTTAAATCTCATTAATTGTAGAATGGCCAAAAGCAGCCAAAGTTTACTGCTGGCCCATTTAGAGAAACTAATCTTGTGTATTGAAAGCCAGTAATTTGTGAGTTCAATCCCACTTCTTCCACTTACTCAGAGTGTGGCTTTGGGCAAGTTACTCCACCTTCCTTCCTGTGCCTCATCTATCTGTGTACATGGAAATAACAACGTTTCACAGTCTCATAAGAGGGTTCTGAAAATTAATTTGATTGTGTGTAAACTACTTTTAAGAAGTTCGCAAAAAGAAAAGGAGTTCTTGTGGCACCTTAGAGACTATCCAATTTATTTGAGCATAAGCTTTCGTGAGCTACAGCTTTATGCATCCGATGAAGTGAGCTGTAGCTTATGCTCAAATAAATTGGTTAGTCTCTAAGGTGCCACAAGTACTCCTTTTCTTTTTGCGAATACAGACTAACATGGCTGCTACTCTGAAACCTTTTAAGAAGTTGTAGATCTAGCCTGATAGTCTGGGAGCAAATCTCATTCCGTGGACAGCTAGTTATAGAAAGGTCATTTGATTCGTAAAAATCTACAGAATCATAATTTCAATGGTGTTCACCCTCTGTGGCATGGCAAGAGGGGACTTGCTGCCACCCCAGCACCGGGTCTTCTGGTTGGTGGACATTTTGATGATACATGATTGGAAATGGGTCAGGTTAGGTATTATCCAAAAGCCTGGTCTCCCATGGCCACAATGGTAGCAAACATGACAAACCTGAAACAATTATGAAGATATATGTTTGAGAGCATGTTTAAAAATCAGGTTTTTTTTTTTTTTTTTTAAATCATACTTGAACACAGATGCATTGTTACATAAAAAAAAGACATTGATCTTTGGTAATCCTACATAAGTTGCCGTTGACATATACGACTGAAAACAGAAACCACTGCTAGACATAATGTCACACTGATCCTCATCTGTGCCCCAGTAGCACATCTTCATACAAGGCAGGTTGCTGGCCAAATATTTTCAGGGTGATGAGCATCTGGTCTTTGCACAGAAACATTTGGTTGGCTAAAGGATTGATTTGGGAGCTCATGGTATTTCACACATAACTAGTGCAATTGGTCCATCTTCCAAGACCCATCCATGCTCAACAGGGGAAGGTAGGTTTGGATGTGCTCAATCACCCTGAGCCATTCCATTACTTGATAGTTTTCCCTCTTGAGAGCAGGTATAAATGCCCCCCTTGTCAGTGGTAAGTTTTCTGTCTGTTTCTTGGAAAATATCCACCAACATAGCTCTGCAAGCTTCTTAATGTTGTCTTCTAATGATGGACTCTCCATACGAACATCTCCAGTGCATTTGTACCCTCATCAGTGACTATCTCAGCCATTCCAAGCACTTTCAGAGTGAGGAAATAGTCTTTAGAGGCTGAATTAAATGCCTTCCAGGTAAGATAATTTGGCCTTTTCAGCCAACATTCCAGCAGTGTCACATTCTGAACAGGGGTGCTGGAACAGTTTGTATAGTGGGAGTGCTGAGAGCCACTGAACCAAACTGTAAACCCTGTGTATAATGGAAACTACTCCAAGCCAGGGGTGCTGCTGCACCCCCAACATCTGTAGTTCCAGCATCTATGATCCTGAAAGGACATGGATTCCTAATAGGTTTTAATGGTCTGAATGATAGGAATACATCTCTGAGGGATATACAAGTGATTCTGTTCCCCAGCAGCAGGCACAAAACCAGAATCGTGCAGAAGTCTTGGATCGCACCACACAGAGAACACTAGAACCTCTGTGTTTTGTGCAAAAATCTGGAGTTTAATAGACCCTCTCTCTGTAGCATTGATGGCATGCAAAATAATTTTAGTGTCAGTCTCCTCATGAAAACTACTGAGAAACTCCACTGAACAGCGTGAGGCAGCAGCTCTATGAAGCCATGCGACAACAAAATTCTTTTGAGTTCATATGCTGGAGCATTTTTCCTGCAAGGTATGTGATTAACTCATCCTTCGTGTGAGTATGAGACATTGTGATGTTGGAGATGTTTGTGGAATCAGTGATTTTTGTATTGGACAGGTGCAATACCGTGGAGTCTCTTCTTCTAGTAATATTTTAATTAATTTCTGTGCATACATGTCAAACACAAGGTGGACTTTATATAGGTCCAGTATTTATTTTCTCTGTAGCCTCATAATGAAGCATTCAGCCAAGTCTCTGCAGGTGTTAATAGTTTTTGGTTTGTTGAGAGCTTGTACCTCAGCCATACAATCTGTGATTGCTACATTGAAAGGCCTCTGCTGGCATAAGTACCAGTCATGTTGTCAGTGGTGCTGGCTTAGAAGACCACGCAAGATGTGCATAAGTTAGCTTTTCGCCTGGCACATAATTGTTCCGTCGCATTCGAACATCAATCATGGTACCACGGGGAAGACGTACTTATTCAAAGTCTCACTTAGATTAACATCACGCTGAGAGCTGGACACAACTAAGAGACAAGCAAACAATGACCTGTCTCTGCTTACCTCTGTAATATACCCTGCCACCTTTTCTCTGACTTTCTTCTTTACATTCAAGCATAGCTTCATTCTGTTTTTCTTGATTGAAGCCCATAGATTGATGGAGCCTTGGATAGTTCTTTGGGTTCTGAAGGCTTCATACAGGTCATGACCCAAAGTATCCATTCAACTGACATCTTTAGCTATCTCATCACTGAAGACTGCTTTCATCATGATATTAATGAGCTCCAGTTTGTTATGTGCACATTGGTTACCAGTGCAAGTAAGCTTACTCTGCAGATGGGGTTACTGGGGTTACAGATGTTACTTCTTGGGAAATCATCCTAGCACTGTTTAATGTTTTGTTTTGAAATTCAATGGAGTTCTGGGTTTGTCAGGAAAACTAAGAGCATTTGGATGCTATGTTATGCCCACCAAACACCCCAATGAATTTCATTGCTCTGTTTTTGTGTTCAACGGCTCTACCTCAACCAAGTGCACAGAATTTCCATTTCAAAATTCCTCCCATGTGTCAAAGTCAGACTTTTCTACACCTCCTATTTCAGCGAGGTACTAGGCAATCATTGCAGAATAGCTGGTTAAATCTAAAGCAAAAGTGGTGCAAGGTGCAAATTCCAGTTAGCAGATTGAATAAAGTGCAGCAAAGACTTTTCCACAGAGCTGGCACTTGCCCTGGCATTTTTAACTTTTTCCTGGTGCCTGATGTACTTCTTTTCCAACCTTGCCAAATTCAGCTTATAGGTGCACTGCTTATAGCAGTTATAAGGCCCCTGGACGATCGAGGTACAAAAGGAGCACTTAAAGACGTTAAAGTCATTGCAGAGAAACTAAATGAATTCTTTGCTTCAGTCTTCATGGCTGAGGTTGTTAGGGAGATTCCCAAACTTGAGCCGTCCTTTGTAGGTGACAAATCTGAAGAATTGTCACAGATTTCATTAGAGGAGGTTTTTGAATTAATTGAGAAACTTAACAGTAACAAGTCACCGGGATCAGATGGCATTCGCCCAAGAATTCTGAAAGAACTCAAATGTGAAATTGCAGAACTATTAATTATGGTTTATAACCTGTCCTTTAAATCAGCTTCTGTACCCAATGACTGGAAGATAGCTAATGTAGCGCCAATATTTAAGAAGAGCTCTAGAGGTGATCCCAGCAATTACAGACCGGTAAGTCTAACGTCAGTACCGGGCAAATTAGTTGAAACAAGATTAAGAATGGTTTCAGAGTAACAGCCGTGTTAGTCTGTATTCGCAAAAAGAAAAGGAGTACTTGTGGCACCTTAGAGACTAACCAATTTATTTGAGCATAAGCTTTCGTGAGCTACAGCTCACTTCATCGGATGCATACTGTGGAAAGTGTAGAAGATCTTTTTATATACACACAAAGCATGAAAAAATACCTCCTCCCACCCCACTCTCCTGCTGGTAATAGCTTATCTA